TAACACATTCAATAAGTACCATTGTTTCAGTTTTACAAGTATAAATGTATCCCGCAGAAACTTCCAAACCTTATCTAAAAATCAAATGTTATTTTGCTATCTCAATTTATCTTATTTTATCAACTTTTTTGCTAGCCAAAGCATGATAATTTGTAACAATTGTTAAAAAATATTTAAAACTATTGCTTAATGAAACAAACCTATTGTCAGCTGTTTTTTCTAATTGCGATGTGCATAACATGCCCCTGGAAATGATATTTTAATTTATTTTACAATCAAATGTGCTGTACAGTATCGATACGTTGCTTGAATCCAATGTAATTTACTAAATTTGCTATAACTTTTCTATTTTCAAATCGATTTGCAAAAAATTTAGATCTATATACTTTGAAATTAAATAAGCTTTAACTTAGCATAAAAATAAGAACAAAAAGTTTGCAGCTTTTAGGTGTAATTCACAGTAGAATAACGATGCGACTTAAAATTGTGTCCGATTTCACTAATAAATTGGCAGATAACTCTTAAACTGATAATTTGATTGCAAAACATTGTATAGCAGGTTCGTAGAGATTTCAAAGACCTTTAATCTGGTGGACATCTTTTTGTGGTGTGATAATCACAACCGGATATTTTTGGAAAAAATTGAAAATGCAGTTTTCTCAATCTGAAAAAAAACGATAATTTCGCAAATTCTTAAAACGTATTCTACTTTTTTAATTTTTGACCTCATATTCAGATTGTGTGAGTTATTTTACATAGCAAATGACTATAAAATTCACGACTTTCAACTATTTTGTTACAAATTTTTTTCCCAGAATGCATATGGTTTTCTAAATTTTCAAATGCAACGCGCAAGTACTTAGAGTTATCATATTCGAATAAAATTTTGCACAGCTTATTTTTAGACCAAAACACATCTTTTTCCGCCCGGCAAACCAAATTTTAATTTTAACGAACGGTCTATTCTGCATACACTGGATGCCTGAGAACGCTCGGCCAAAGGAAAGGTTAGGTAAGGAAGTTGTGGATCAAGTTTTGATACTTTCACTGCTAGACATGTTAGTCCATTGACAATGCCCTCTAACAGCCCTGGATGAAATTGATGAGGTCCGATAGATTCACTTCCTGTGTACCTGCCTACATAGCTGGTGAGAAAACGAGATCGCAAGTGATCTAGGCGCCTTTCCTGCTGGCCCTGTTCCGTGGGCGACGGGTACAGAAGATGATGAAAATGCATACATATATAGAACAATTGCGCCGGCTTGAGCATGTGGTACGCATGGATGATGAGGCGCCAGTGAAAAAATCCGTTGAATCGACACCCATGGGAGATCAAAACAAAGGACCTGTCTGCAATCGGGATGATGTACAACTGGCGCAAAGGAGAGAAAGCAATTGTCGAAGTTTTTTGGTCTCGGCCTAAACCGATGAATGGTTGTAGAGCCAAATAAAAAAAAGTCTGCTGGACATTGGCATGGGAAATCCAGAATCGCTACCTCATGTCGACAGCAGAGAAAACTGGTGGATATATACCATCGGTGAAGTATTGTGTCAAAAGTACCTTAGTTTCTCATTTCTTACTAAGCCTTGGCCGTAAAGACCTTAAAACTTCACTGTAGAGCGCTGGTTAATGGCTAGTCGACTAATCGGTTAATCGATTAGCAAAAGTTGTTTCATAACATAGCGGACTTCACTTAATCGATTAACCATTTCCTTTCGACTTTTTCAACTAACCGCTTACAAACTAGTCGACTAACCGTTCGTGTTCGATTTTTCGACCGGTTATTTTCTGTCAACTGGCTTTTTATATTTGTTTAATACTTAATGTCACTATTCGAATAATTTCGGTTAGTCGATTTCCAGAGTAATCAATGGTGAACGGTTAGTCTAATTCGAGCGTTTAAATGAATAATTGCTATTCGACTATCAAACGACAAAAAAGAAAGTTGCTAATCGACTATCCGACTTACCGAATAGCCTGATAGTACACTTTTAACAAGATATCTACTTCGCGGCCGCTGTGGTGTAGTGGTAAGCAGGGCGCGCTTCCACTCCGCAGGGCCTCAGTTCAAGCCCTGGTAAAAGCAACATCGTAAAAAAAGGTTTTTTCTTAACGGCGGTCGCATCTCGGCAGGCAATGGCAAACCACCGAGTGTATTTCTGTGATGAAAATCAGCTTCTCATAAAAATACAATCGCCGTTCGGAGTCGGCGTAAAACTGTAGGTCCCTCCTCCTTTTGTGACAATATCAAGGCGCACGCCACAAATAGGAGTAGAAGGTCGGCCACACACTAACATATGTGTAAGCGCCATCTATTATATTATTATGAAATTATTATCTACTTCACAGTCGCATCGGTTGATCCATGGGACATTTGCTACGGCTGTGGTGTACTTGTAAATTTTCGTTCCTATCGATATTCCTATGCTTAAGAACCCAGCAAAGAGAGAGAGACGCATAAGTCATTTTCCCTAAAACAGACGTACTTATGGCAAAGACCTCCACCTGATAGACACTACAGTATAATATGCTTGCAGTTGCTCTCACTAGAGACCTATCCATCTTCAAGCTATGACCAAGAGCAGTAGCCGTGCTCCAATTCCTCTGAAATTTCGCGTATTTCCTATATGGTATATGTTATCATGCATACCAGAAGAAGAAAGTTTGTTTTCGTTTACACGATATACATTTTTTTTTTAAATTATAAAAAAAGGGTATTTCTCCCTTTTAAATGTTTTTTCTCAAATTTTTACATACGAAATATACAAATATGCATATCAGAAGAAAGAGGGTTTAATCGCGTTTACTGCGATACCAATGTTTTAAAAATCAGTTCAAAATTGTTTGAAATATAAGGATTAATTCGACCACTTATAGCACCTGTAATATAAGTTTGCATAAAAAAAGTTATATACCATTTAAATAAGAGCAAAAGGCGGACTACGTCTATATTTTTAGCCTTTTAGTTATTTATATATAACAATAAAAAATAATTTTTTACCAAAGACCCTATTTCGAGCTTCGAAGGCCCATATTTCGATTTCGGAGGCTAACTTCGAAAAACGGAGAAATTACTTTTTTACCTATGACTCATGTATACATTGTAACTATCAATATCTTATAAAGAGAAGTGTAAAACTTTTTTATGTAAAACTAATAAAGTTAGAAGGACGAAATTCGAGGATTTGGTTGTAAATATTGGTCCTTGACATATATTTTGTTCAAAAATAAATATTGGAAATTTCCAAGGATATTCAAGGATAAAGTTTTAAAAGGACATTTTCAACACTTATTTGTTCTGGTGCACCAAAAATTAATTTTTTTTTTTTGGATTCTGCTGAATGTCTCCTTTTAATTGATACCCATATTGTTAGATACTCTACAATGCACCAAATCTTTAAATAATTTTTTTATTCAATCATAGACATCCTAGAAATTTCAAAGTCCTTCAAAAAAAATCCTGACGTCAGCGAGAAAATTTTAAAACGCAGTTATACTACATTTGGCTCCTAGTTTTGTAAATATATTGATTTTTCGTGGGTTTTAAAAATTTTTGGTAGTTGAAGGAAAAAAAGTAGTTGAAGAAAATATATTATCCTGCAGCTATAAATAAATGTTACATACATAATAAAAACTAGTTAAAAATAATTATAGAGTTCCCTCGAAGCGAAAAATAATTGCACAAATAAAAGTTACAGTTTTATAGAGAATGTTCCCCAAAACTTCTAAATAACTATTCAGAATTTTTAGAAAAATTTCAGGTGTGCCTATTAAATTTTAGTAAAAGTAATAAAGTACAAGTTTCAAGTGACTAAGAATTCGCAATGATTTTTTTCATATAAAAATATTTTCAGCACGCTTTATTATTTAATGGACTAAAAAACTGCATAATTACCTAATTTTTTTTCTAAAATTGACGAATAAAAACTTTAAAATTTCGGTGAAAATTAAAAAAGGAATAAAGTGGATTTTAGTTAGGCATCAGTGTGCGTCGCCGAGGCGTTAGAAAATCTCACTCGCCGGTGAAACATTTAAATAATAGAAAAGGCTTTCTTAATAGTGGACGCCCCTCGACAGGCAATGTATAACTTCAGAATGTATTTCTGACATTAAATAGCTTCTTATGAAAACGTCTGCCCTTCCGAGAGGGCACAGAAAAGCAGGCTTCCCAATTTGTTTAACAAATCGGTAGAAAATATCAGCCGAACATTAGCAAAAAGGTGTAAGCGGTGGATGTTTATAAGTAAATTCAATTAAAATATTCGTGTAATTGCATTATTCCACACATATTTTGTATGAAACTTCGATTAATCAATTAATTGCGCAGCTGTAAAGAGTTGTTTTTTAAGTTAAAGATACTTATAAATATTGAAATGAAAATCTCTCGATAGTATTTAAGTATGTATATTTTTTTACATTTTTACCCGTATTAAACTTCAATTACTTACCTCATTGAATGGTTTGATTTTTGTATGCATTATGAATGGAAATTTGCATAACTCACAGGCATTCGTTTCTGATGCAGTTAGCCATTGTTGGAGACATGCCTGATGTACGTACTTTAAGCTACCCGCGCAGTAACATGGCGTCAGCAAGGGATTTTGTGGATCACTTTCACAATGGCAGATGCGACAAATATCGCCGCTACTCTGAGATGCCTGACTGCTCCCGGAACCGAATCTGTAAAAGATGACATTGAAAATACATACAATAAAGTCAATATATTTTTTTAGTGCATGTGCATACATAAATATACTAGAAAAACATTAGATGAAAACATTTAAATAGATTAAAATACTTAAATGGAAAAATGTATACGCTTGCACGAATACCAATTTGCATAGCACGTGCATGAGATTAAAAACTGCTAATTATGCCATTTTTAACGGCCAAGGCTTCAATATATTTGTGTTGTTGAATGTAACAAGTCACGAAAACTCGTTCACGCATAAACAAAAATTGCATATGAAAGTCTAGAAAAATCAAAACAAAACAACTCCAAAATTGCATACATACTGTCATACATCTTGGAGTCACAGAAAAAGACAACTTGTTCAGCTGAAAATATAATGGAATCGAAGAAAACATTCCAGTTATGCCAAATTAAGTAGTCGTTGGATACATATGTATGTATGTACATTAAAGTGGTCCAAAAATGTATGTAAAAAAATAAGGTCGGATTTTTAATGCCGGCACCCCCTAGGATTGTTCTATATCGAAAGAAATATACCCCTATTTTTTTTATTTTGAAATCAAAAAATATTTAGGGGGTGCACAAAGCGCTCAAAGTTTTCCATGTATTTTATATGGAGAAAAAACCATTCTTCGTAGAAATGGTATAAAACTCTTAAAAATCAATATTTTTCGATCGGAAAACTTTTCTTATCTTCAGGAGATTCCCAGTACGCAATTGTCTCTTTAACCATTATTTCATAGTAACTATATTTTATAGGTCCTCCAACCCCCTAGAAAATGCAATGGAAAAATCTTAAATCATAAAAAATGGCTAAATAAACAATTGGATATTAATACTGGAAGTCTCCTGAAGAGAACCACAGTTTTCCGATTGAAAAATATTGATTTTTAAGAGTTGTATACCATTTCTACGAAAAATGGTTTTTTCTCCATATAAAATATATGGAAAACTTTGAGCGCTTTGAGCACCCCCAAATATTTTTTGATTTCAAAATAAAAAATAGGGGTATATTTCATTCGATATAGAACAATCCAAGGGGGTGCCGGCATTAAAATTCCAACTTAATTTTTTTGGACCACTCTAATGTACATATACATATATGTATATACATATACAGTGAAACCTCTCCTAACGGACACCTCTATTAGACGGACACCTCCCTTGGGCGGACATTTTTCTTCCTATACCAAGTTTTAAGTATAAATTTCGGAACAAATTACTCTCTCTTAAGCGGACACTCTCTTGGCCGGACGCGGACAGTTATTTTGCATAAAATTGACACAAAAACTCTATTGGGCGGACGCGAACCTCTTATCAACGGACATTAAGATTTCTTTTCATAACAAATCAAACAAAAACCTCCGTTGAGCGGACGCGAACTCCTCATAGGCGGACTACTAAATGGAAAAAGGGGACTTCCCGCACAAAATGTGATTGTTATGCACACATTTAGGATGGTTTGCGCAGTGGTTTAGGTTCGTTATTTGAATTGTCAGAAACCCTTGGAGACTGATAAAAACATGAAAACTATTGATGAAAAAGGTACTGACACTGAAAAATATTAAAAATAAAATTTACGTCAATCGACAATTTCCCAGTTTTTATGTAATGAAGCTATGATTTTATGTAGTTTATGGACTAAAATGTAATATTTATTTTTATTTTGTTATTACTTAATATGTACTTACGCACATAAATGAAATGTGCACTTTTGAAAAAATACATGCACATTTTTGTTTGAACGATGTAATATCAATATCTTTTATTCAAATAAGAAATAGTGACTATTCAATTAATTAAAACATTAAAAAGTTCTAAAATAGGCTTCCCCTCCATTAAGCGGACACCTCTCTTGGGCGGACAAAAAATGACTGACGGTGAGTGTCCGCCCAAGGGAGGTTTCACTGTATATACATATGTATATAACAGTTGTATATAACATTTTAATATCATCCAGTTACCAACAAGTTGATCTTCTTCTTGGAATATGATACTAACTAATTATTCGTAAGCTCGTATCTAACTGATTTCATAAATTTAATTTTTATAACAAAAAAAAAAAAAAATATTGCCAAATTTGAATCATAAAAAAATATTCATCTGTAAGTCACAGCTTTGTAGGCACAAAAATGTTATACATACATAAATATATTCCACAAATACACCACATTCGTTCGAATTCTTAAAGGTTTTTACTGCCAAATTGTTTTTATATACAGTTGTCCACAAAATAATAGGAATAGGACCCGTTTGACTATTTTTATTTTGTTTAATTTTATTTAATTTGTTTTTATTAATTTTTATAAAAGTATAAGTAGCTCAATATCGAGCAAGAACCATATAAATCTAAAATTTCCAACTTTGTGCAAAAATTATAAAAATTCAACTATCTTTAACTGAAATTTCAGAATCCTTACTTTACTTTTGAATATTATAAAAGCGAAAGTGAGTTTGTTTGTTTGTTACGCTTTCACGCTTAAAGTACTCAACTGATCATCATGAAATTTTGCATACTGGTGTCATTTAGCCAAACTTAAAATATAGGACATAGATTTTATCTCGATTAGACGAGGGAGTGTGGTACCTCCTATACTGCACATCTCTGGAAGTCATTGTGGAACTTAGTACGGAGATATATAAAATCAATATTTTGCTCATGGCACCTCCCATACAAACTGAATTTTTCATAGTGCATACCTCTAGAAGTTTTTTCCCGTAGACTCAACGGCGTAGAGTAATGGAACTTGGTATGGTGATATATAAAATCAATACCATATTAAAAGACAATAAATAAAATAAAGATAAAAAACTTTTTAATATACCACGCTTTTATAAATGGACTAAAAATAGAAAATAATATTTCTCAGTCCCACAGAATTTGTTTTGATAACTTTTGATTTTGAATTTTTAGCAAAAGTCATTAAAATCAATGTATGAGATTGAAAACGAAAAACGTGGAGCGCATGCAATACAAAGCATTAGATTTAATTGACAATAGTCAAACTATATAACATAGACCTAAAATTTCTTCAGCGAAAGTACAAATTTTGAGATCGATTTTAAGCGGTCGTTATTCATTTACCCACATACATACATACATACATGTATTACTTTTCATATCAATTCAAGTCTTTTACATGCGCCCCACGCTTTTCATTTTCAATCTCATAACTGTTTATAATGACTTTTGCTAAAATTTCAAAATCAAAAGTTATCAAAACAAATTTTATGGGACTGAGAAATATTATTTACTACTTTTTAGTCCATTTATAAAAGCGTGGTATATTAAACATTTTTTATTTTTGATTTTATTTATTTTCTACTTTTTAGCCTTGTCTGTATAAAATTTTGCAATAGATATCAATTATATAAATAGGCAATCATGTTTCCTTTACACCCCTTTTACGGCTAAACTGTACTTCTAAGGTATAAACAATTATATATCATTAGAAAGGTATTTTGATGCTGATGTGCAGGCAATTTTTAAAATTTCAAATTAGTTTAAAATAGAGCGAAAAAATCAATTCAAAAGTCACACCAATACCAATGCCATACATGTACATGGTTGGGGCGGAAATGCCTCCTAAATGTATGCTTTAATATTGATAGTGAATTAAAGAAACGTGCTAAGCAGCAGTTTAGGAATAAGATGTATGTATGTATGTACATGAATAGATTAGCCTCAAACAAGGATGAAGATAATTTTGAGTATGGAGAAGAAGAAAGGGATAAATACAGAAATTAAAATAAAAGTAAAGAAACCTAAATATAAAGACAAAGAGGAAGGGAAATTTAAATACCTAACCTAATAGCAATGGTGGGGGTGAATATGTAAATGAAGAAAAGAATGGACATATTTAGATCAGGATAAAGGAAAGGATAAAGATGAAGAAGAAGATGAAGACCAAGACGAGGAAGAAGATGAAGATGAATATGAAGATAAGGATAAAGATAACTTATCTTAACTTAACCCCTTAACTTAACTTAACTCCACCTGAGTTCGCTACGCATTAATTCACCACACCTTAACTCCCCACACCTAAATCCACCACAACTTCACTCACCACACCTAAATTCACCACACCTTAATTCACCACACCTAAATCCCCCACACTTTAATTCACCACACCTTAACTCACCACACCCTAACTTTCTCACCACATCTCAACTCACCACACCTTAATCTACCACACCTTAATTCACCACACCTTAACTTTCTCACCACACCTTAACTCACCACACCTTAATTCACCACACCTCAACTCACCACAACTAAATTCACCAAACCTCTTAAGACCACCACACCTGAATTCATAACACCGTAACTCCCACACCCTGCACACTGCAACTCACCACACCCAATTTCAACACATGACATGATATCACTAAAGAAACAATATAAAGAAAAAGAGGAAGGAAAGAATGAAGATATAGATCAGGATAAAGGAAAAGATAAATATGAAGACGAAGGTGAATATGAAGATGAAGATGAAGATGAAGATGAAGATGAAGATGAAGATGAA